CAGCCACAGGGGAGAGGTGGGATCCTCGTCCCACAGCAGGTTTGCTGAGCCCTGCACCAGGGAAGAGTCACAGGGACCATGCAGCAAAACAGGATATGCATGGAGCTACCCCGAGCTCTGCTGTGCAGGGAGGCAGATGCCACCGAAACGGGAATAGGGGAACCTCCTGCACCCTCCTGGGACGCTGCCGTGCCTGGATGCTCCTCCAAGGGGGCCTGTTCACAGACCCGCAGAGCATCAACAGGAGGAGCTCGAGCTCTGGGCGCACGTGTAGCGACCTCAAGAACCCCCGTAGGACGGGCCAGGGTCCAGCTGTGAGATGGAGGAAACAGCTCTGCTTTCCTATGTGGAGCATCCAGCGAAAGAGGTAACGAACCCGCTCCGAGGGTGGAATTAACAGTAAAACAGAACAAGAACGTCTGTTCTAGGCTGGCCCTAGGGCACGTATGTGCTGCTTATAAGCAACATCCCTGATAAGGAGTGACTGCCCCGACTGAGGAGGCAGGCGTGGTGATGAGGTGGGCGCGAGGGAAGGCGCCCTCAGTGCACCGGGACGCAGCCGCAGACCCACGGCCTTCAGCAACCTGTTCAGTAAGTCAGGCCCTAACTCCCCAAATCGGTGTGAAAGCACAGACATTCCCCCCCAAAAACCCTAAAATACCTGAAATGGGGGAGTCCAAAAATGAGAAGTCAAAAAAAGTCCTAAACCACCCCAGCAGCGAGAGCCCCAGAAAGTCCCAAAACACCCTAAAACAGCTTTATTTTGGGACCTGAAAACCCCCCAAAACAGCCCAAAGTTGGTCTCCTCCCCTGCAAAAAAAAACCTAACACACCCAAAATAGCTCTTTTTGGATCCAACTCCCCCCGCCTTTAAATACAGAAACATTGTGATACCCAAAAGGGAAGTCCCCCCAAAGCCCTGAAATACCCCAAACTTGGGAGCTCAAGAAGAGAGATTCCCCCAAAACACCCCAAAGTGGGGCTTTTCTACGTCTTTTATAAGCTCCCAAATTTGGGTTCCTCCAAAAAAGGATTCTCCCAAAAAAAAAAAAAAAAACACTCTCACATACCCCAAGTGGGCAATTCCCAAACAGGAATCTCCACCAAGAGCCCTAAAACATCCCAAATTTGCAATCCTAAACCTAGGAAGCCAACTCCTAAAAAAAATCCCCAATTTAGGAGCCCCCAAACCCCAGAAAATTCCCCCCCAAAGGGGGATTTCCTATAACTCTATAACTCCCCCCCCCGACTTACTATTTAACTTATTAGTTATTCTAGAGGGAACTAAACAGCCTAATTAATTAGGTGGTTCATAGCTTAATTAACTTAAATGACTTAGTGAAGCAAACAGTGTAGAAACGTTGTTAACGTATACATAACGTATATGTTAACGCACGTACCCAGGCCTGGTACCTGACAGACCAAGTGCGGCCCCCGCCCCAGGGGCCGTTTTAGGTAACGAATTAACGGCCCGGCCCATCGACCC